GAAGGACGACTTTAACCATTACCATGTACAGGTAAATGGTTTGTGATACTCGAGTATAAACTATATGGTATATTTCTAAACCCTGATCAAGATGACGTGGTGTCATACGATCAGTTCCCCTTAAATATCTCGGGAACGCCAGAACTCCTCTTGTTGCTGTTAACAATACGTTCAGAGCATATGAGGATATAAGTTCATGGAACAGGTGCCACAATTGTTAATGACTTAATACTGGGCCATGACTAAAGCCGATGATTATCAGCAAGTCGTGGACTGCGGATAAAGCGTACATCTGCTGCAGTAGAATATCTTTGAAACTATTCGAATAGCCGTACTCATGGAATTGAGTAACGAGACTCATATGGTACCCTGGTTAGAAATCTAAAGTCTATACGTTTTATAAATTCTTGCTATAACACTTCCAGATTGTTTATTACTGCTTTTTGCAAAGAACCCTACTATATATTAATTCATAACATATTTCCATGATAATTTGCTGAGTATTGCGAATACTTATCCTTGCTCTTATAACCCCTTTTTCAGATTTGGGTCAAGAGGACCCTTATGACTATTACTACGATGACCCCGATAACTTAGAGAATCCCTAAAGGTTATACCTCCCTAGTCAGAATGTATAGAAGCTTCTGCTGTGTATTAATTAGTTAGGTAAGTACCTATTATTGTAAAACCCTTAGTATTGTAAAACTTTAACGTATGCAATGAAGAACCAGTTATATTGTATGTATCAATATTTACTGATTCAGGGATTGATACATTAATTCTAGTCGGATCCAAGTTGTTAGTTTTGAGCTCCGACAAGGGGAGCCGCATCATCCCGTCCCCAGCGTCACCGTGGCCAATCGTGGAGGATCTACAGCGGCAGTGGCAGTGCTGTAGCGGCAAACTCTCGAGAGAGAAGGAAGGAGATAACAGTGGAGGAGAGATGATGTCACTGGGGTCCATTGATTTTTTATTTTTTTTCATGAGACTTACATGTAGGTCCCCTGTTTGTAATTTTCACTTTTATTTTTTCTGGTGTTGTGGAAAACGATCGTACTGGCCGATTAATCGGCCGTATATACGTTAACGGTAGTAAAATTGTTCCGTTAGCATGATACGATGTACAATTATCATTTGTAAACGTCAAATCTCCGTTTTTAGCGATTAGTTGGCCGTTTTCCGTTTAGTCACCCGAATAATCGTCTGTATGTTGTATTAGATGATGATTTAGAGTAGTTTTTAATTTAATTTAGAATTGTTTATGTTTTACTTAATTTAGAATTGTTTGTGTTTACTCATTTAATGCAACCAATTCTACATAAATGCGGTGTTAGGAGATTTAATATTCCACTTATCTTCTAAAACATGAACATTAAAATCAGTGAAAACCATCCTCAAAACAATGAAGAGAGCCCAGTTGCACGTTTTATTGTTCAAAGGGGGCGGGCTTCCTTGTTTTTCGTTTTGGGGGGGCGGCTTCGGCCCTTTCTTCAGGGGCTCAAATTGGATTTTTTTTTTCTCAAGGGCCAAAAGTCACTGATTGGGTCCTTGAACGGAAAGGCCGTCAGATTTGGGTCGCTGTAGGCCTACTGTCTTGAAATTCGTCCTGTATTAAAAGCATAAGAAGGTCAAATTTCGGCCTTGTCGATGTCCAGTACGGGCCGCACCGACATCATCGGCCCAAACTAGCACTAATGGGTTGTTACGGATAATTTTGCGAAGCAAATCCCCCCTCCCCTAATATCGGAGCCTCCGTCGCAATCCATTGTTGCGATTTCTGCCGTTCGGGCCATGGCGATCACACGGCGACCGGAGAATAGCAGACGAGCCGCGCTATACGAAGGCCGCCGCCCTGGCTAGTCCCTAGGAAGGCCGCGCGATAGGCGCCCACCTCCCAACGCGTCCTTTCCGCCAGCTCCAATCTGTTCCGCCGCCACCCGATCGACCCAACTCGGCAGTCCCCAACTAGGCGACGAGGTAAATACACGAAATCCCCTCTTGTTGTGGTTGTACAAATCGATATGCATGCTTGTTTGGGATTTCTTGCAAACTTGAATGATTACTGCTTAGTAGTTTTGACCTCAAGATCTAGGTAATTGGCTGAAGAACATTATGTTGTCCGTCAGAATATATCACTAATTCAACTGCCGGTTCCACACGCATTTTATCAAATGTGTCTCTGTGAAGCATTAGGACCATATTCCCCGCATATAATAGCCTTTCCAGGCATACAGAGAATATAAAAAAAATTGAAAGGAAGAGAATATAAATTGAACCTCTGATAATAGCATTAACAAAATCACGCACTCTTGATTCCTTAGGATAGATGCGTCCCAGATCAAATTCTCAGATCCAATTCAAGGACCAGAAGGAGATTATGCTGTGTTTTCCTTTGCAGCTAGGAGCAAATTGAGCCGTTTTTAGCAATTTTTCGAGTTAATGCGAGCAATAAAAAAAGTTTAGGAGTTAACTACTCCCTTAACTATTTGACATGAGTATCACAATATATAGGAAGCTACATTCCGAACGTTTTTCCTGTTAGACGTTGGTTGGCACTTGGCAGGAACTGGTATGAAGCAACACTATCTGTGGCTCATTTCTTCTGTTTCTCCACCCAAATTCAACGGACCTTGTTCCAAATTCCAATGAGATGAAGAAAATTAGTAGTATATTTCTTTGTTTCCCTCGTGTGTTTTGTCATTTTCCAGTAAGGTGATGTGTGATACTATCTGGATATTCCTACCCTCATGGTAAAACTGATTTTGCATTGCCATCTCAAGGTTTGATTCTTCTTGTTTCGGTCAATCCTACATCACATTTATCACACTGAACCTTGCTTAGACAGCCTGTAAGTAAGCAATCATCCACTGGATCTATGATTATGCATGCATCTAGCTATCTTTAGGCCAACTCCCTTAGTTGTTTGAGTTTGACCATTCACATTATCTCTTCGGTTCTATAATTCTCCACCTTTTGGACAAGGTTAAGATCAAACTTTTGTAACTTTAACTATTAACAACTTTAAAGCTATTTAGTTTAGAGGCATTAGAATAATATATGTAGATTTATCTTATAAAATACTACAATGAAAGTGAAATTTATCAATTCATTGTATATATTATAATAGAAAAACATAGTCAAAGATATATTTTAAACACCGTGTTATTATTCAAAACGTTAAGAATTATGAAAGAAGAGCGAGTAGCTGCAAGAGGCACTAGCTAAGCTATAAACCAAACAGTGCACGCTTCCATTGCCATCTGAAAACGGCATGCTTTTGACTAATCGTGGAGCGAAGACAACAACAATTGTTCAGAAGCGGTGGGTGTGTTCTTTTGGAGGGTTGCCTGCCATCCGCACGAAAAACGGTGCGATAGATTAACACGTGATTAATTAAGTATTAGCTATAAAAAAATTAAAAATGAATTAATATGATTTTAAAATAACTTTTCTATATAAACTTTTTGTAAAACATGCACCGTTCATCAGTTTAAAAAGCGTGCACACGGAAAACGGGAGATGGGTTGGGAACCCATTGGAAAGAAGACAGCCTGTGGCATCTTCCTCTTCTTGTTGTCATCTTTTATCAATGCAGGAAGATACAATCTAGAACTGATAACGGCATGCACAACAGTCCAGGCATCAATAACATCAAGTACAACTATGTAATGACGTACTTGTACCTAAGTAGAAACGATGATCCCAATCTCGTGTACTTCCCATGACAGTTCCCTAACATCGGTATCTAAGCAAGATTAGCTCATCTCTCCAGCTGTACTATTTTTTTTAAAGATCTACCCTCTAGGATGTAATGAGTGATGACTCAAAAGTGCTAGTCTGGTTGATGACTCAACCAGCGTCCTTTTATTTCGAGCTGTAGTCAGTGTCCTTCACGAAAGGAGAAACGAAGCAGAGGACACAAAGTTTAGTTCAGATTTCTTGGTCGTGGCTTATTTTCCCCCCATTTTTTCCTTCTTTTTCTTAAGAAGAAAAACTAACTCTGCAGTGAGAACGCAAATATGCTCGTGGGCCCCATTCAGAGAAGCAGTGACGATCGAGATGACGAAATTAACGAAAACGAAAGGATACGAGAGACCGTTTCGCGTGCGGGCTTGTGGCACTGGCACCTAGTACGCGCGCAACGATGGTCACAGCCTTACATTTACATCTCCGGGCATTTTCACGGGAGGGTCGCGCCATCGCGGCCCCTATCGATCGATCGCCCCCCCGGCGCTTGCGTGGCGTAGTGGTGCGAGCGTCCGCGAGAAACTATCTGCGCGGTGTCGCGGAGAAAAACGCCAGCGTCAACCACTGCCATCCGGCGACTGTTGGCGAACCGTGCATGTGTGTGCAGTTGTCCCGGCCGTTGATGGCGGACGGGGAGTCCTCAACAAGCGGTGAGGTAGGACGCGACGCAGGACGTGAGGAAACGCGCAGGAGATGTGCTGTTTCGTGATCACGCCTGCTGAGCTGACGACGCGGGGGGAAAGGGGCGGCACACGGTGGCGTGCAAAAGCGGCACGGCGAGGACAGCATGCTCCAACTACCACTGCCGGTACCAGATCGAGCGTGGAGGTGCAAGTACGGATGAGGGTTGTACGGGTTCGTACAAGGTACAGCGGCCGTTGATGTTCCTAGTTTTCCCACCTTCCAGGGGGAAGGTCTCACAATGGCACACGCCTCCAAGCATCCCCAGTCCACGGTGTAGGCAGTCTGGTGAGTGGTGAGTACCAGGCGTGGCAGAAAATTGAACTGCGTGACTGACTGCTGATGAGTCATGACAAATTTCCAAGCAAACGACGGGTGTCATAGCTCACAGGTCGACTGCAGGGGATTTGGGGGCCATTTTTTTTCTCTCTTTTGAGAACAGGAAATTTGGGTGTAGTCCAGTAGTGAAAGTTGAACGTCAGATTCATTGTTTCTGATGTTTTGTTCTAGCGCGAGAGTTCTTTGGTGATTAGTTGCTCTCCAGCTAGATTCATCTGGGAGAAAATGGGAAATTCATCAACACCATGATCGATCCGTCCAAGTTGGATTTGTAAACAACATCGGAACTAAAAAGCTAAAAAAAGACAACTGTTACTCCGTTAATGATTCCAAGATGATCCCGGCACGCACATGTCGAGAAAAAAATTAGCCTCTAAATGACTAGCTAAATCCATGGAGAAACAGAGAACCGAACAAGAGAACAAAATCAGCCCATTCTGATGGAACGCATATTTACACCATCCCCATCCGCCGCCTGATGCTACCACCTGCCGAACGCCTTCTTCCCGGCGGCCGCCACGGCGGCGGCGCGCTCGAACCGCGACGCGGCGCAGGGGATGGTGATGCCGCCGGGGTGCTGGAAGCCGAACTCCTCCTCGGCCTCCCTCAGAAGCTCCCCGAACATGGGGTGGTTGAAGTACACCACCGGCACCACGTACCTCAGCGACTCGCCGGGGTTGCCGCCGCCGACGTACACCGCCACCTGCCCCTTGGGCGTCGACACGGGCTCGTCCAGAATCCGCCGCCGCCCGCCGTCCTTCCGCCCGAGGCTCAGCCGCCGCACCAGCGACCGCCCCCACCGCAGCACCGGGGCCAGCCTCTTGGCTTCTTCGCTCCCCTCCTTGCAAGCGCCGCCGCACCCACCCGACGTCGTCTGCAGGCGCAGGTAGCCCCGCCGGCGCCGGCGCCGGCAGCAGAGCGCCCATCGCCAGGCACTGAGCAGCTTCCGCCCCAGCCGGAACCCTCCATGCGACCGCTTTAGCATATCCAAACCCCAAGAAACCGCTTCCACCTTCCTACGTGGGTGAGTTGAATGGACTTTGGGAGGAGTGGCGAGCCAGAACGGGAGGAAGTGGGAGCGCGGTGAGGCTAGAGAAACGAGTGTTTTATAGGGCACGGGCGCGGACCGCGGAGCGCACAACTGAGCGTGTGATCTCGATTAAAAATTTTTAAAAAGCATTAAAAAATTAAAAAAAAAAAGCTGATGCCATTTGCGTTCCGCTTGTTTTTTGGCGTTTGGCCACAGGCTAAGATTCGTGCGAGGATTTTGGCTAGGATTTACCGGGGTTTCTGGTGGTTCAGGCGGCGTTTGTTCGGTAATGGCTGGTGTGGCTGCGCGCGGGCGGTGGTCCATGATTCCTTGGGCTAAGCTGGACAGTGAGAGCTCGCCCGCCCGACCCGTTCGGCTACGCTGCTTTCTTCGCTTTCCGCGACTACTGGCGTGATAGACTCACGTACTTAAAAATTGAGTTGGATAAATGCCTTCAACTTGTATATCTCCTTGCAATCTAGCAAGAGTTTGGCACCCAGCACAAAAGCGTCTTTGAGATTTCAGCATACGTAGCTCCTGGTCGACGTCAGTCCCCAACAGGAAGGGGTTTAGAAGCAGTCTTTGCTGTGAAGTTCCCACAATATCGGGTTTGTTTCGGAACAACAGAGAAATGCTTCCAGGTTAGGTCTAGGAATGTCGCGATACTGCCGTGCAGTTTAGATTGTAGTAGCTGCTACTGGCTGTACGTGGCACACTGTTATGCATTGATACGAAACTATTCTGGCATATTGTTAGGGGCTCTCAAGAACACGCTTCACAATTCACGAATTTAGTGGCAATATTTGTTACTTCTCAGATCCAACAGGACCGAGCCGCCGCCGCCAACGCCTCCAGATGCCAATTCCCGAATTGTTCTAGTGTTGTTCGTTTGATTTATTACAACCAACCCACTCTCTCTCTCCGGCGCCAGCTCACAAGCGAGCTGATACCTTACGCCACCCACTCTGGACCGTGGACCTTCGGATTGGGCCTCCTCTCACGGACTGGACGCCGAGTTGCAACCCAGGCTTGATTGTCACCTGAAGTCTGGATCACCTCCTCCTTATCTTCTCTGCTACCAGCTTCATCAGCAACTTCAGGACGGCTTCCTTCTTCTTCTTCTGGTTCTTCTGCAGTTGAGCCTTGCGAGATATCTCCTGGATGATCTTGAGAGTCCCTGACAAGCCCCTCTCCTTGAGAATTGGCTTGCCCCCAAGCCAATGCTGCGGGAAACCTTGAGCGAAGATCGTCCAGATCTTCCCAAGTAGCGTCCTCTGGAACAGATGCAGACCACTGAATAAGAACTTGAGCAACAGCAGAATTACCTCGTTTTGTTAACCTCCTGTCCAAGATACGCAATGGAACTTGTAAAGGAGCAGTGGATGCCGGCAATTGATGTTGAACCGGGCCTGTAAAACCAATTGCGGATTTCAATTGAGATACATGAAAAACTGGATGTATAGAAGTAGAAGAAGGCAATTGCAACTGATAAGCCACAGTGCCAATCTTGGCTGTAACTTGGTAGGGTCCAAAGTACTTAAAAGCCAACTTATGATTTGCTCGCACAGCCACAGAAGTTTGCACATAAGGCTGTAACTTAAGATATACCCAGTCGCCTACTTCAAAGGAACGAAAACTCCGCTTCTTATCTGCAAAGTGCTTCATCTGCTGCTGTGCTCGGTGGAGATGTTGCTGAACCAAATTCTGCATCAATCTTCTTTCTTTCAACCACTGAGCTAGATCAGGAATGGCACAATCTTGCGACCCAATACCAAAGTGGCTAGGAGAATGGCCATATAAGACTTCAAAAGGAGTAGCTTGCACTGAAGAATGGAAAGAAGTGTTATACCAATACTCAGCAAGATGCAGCCAAGCAGCCCATTTAGTGGGAACCGAATGAACAAAACATCGAAGATAAATTTCCAGGCACTGGTTGACACGTTCGGTCTGACCATCAGACTGAGGATGGTAAGCTGAGCTAAAGTGTAATTTAGTACCAGCCCCTTCAAAGAGATGCTCCCATAACTGACTTGTGAAAACCTTATCCCTATCCGAAATGATTACCAAAGGAAGGCCATGCAACTTAAAAATGTGCTTCATAAACAACTTAGCAACACTCAGTGCAGTAAATGGATGGGATAAGGGCAGGAAATGAGCATACTTAGAAAATTTGTCTACCACAACGAGAATACAGTTAGAATGATCAGACCTTGGCAACCCTTCAATAAAGTCGAGTGAAATAACTTGCCAAGCACCCTCAGGTACAGGTAGAGGCTGCAAAAGCCCTGGGTATCTTGCCCTGTCAGGCTTGGCTTGTAAGCATATCTGACATTGCTGCACAAAGGTCTTAGTCATTTTCTTCATCTTGGGCCATGCAAATAGCTGCTTCAGTTTTCTGTATGTAACTGGGAACCCAGAGTGACCACCAATTGGACTGGAATGTAATTCAGTTAAAAGCTTGGACTGTAGTGTAGGATTATCACCAATCCAGACTCTGCCCTTAAATCTGATTAGACCAGAATTGAGTGTAAAATGTTTCCTGCCGGTGGCATTAACAGCTAATTCAGTAAGCAATTGAGTGGAAAAAGGGTCTTGTTTATAACCATCAGTAACTTCCTGAATCCAAGTGAGAGTACAGGCTGAAATATGACAGAGTTCATCTTCAGTATCTTGGAATTTCCTTGACAGAGCATCAGCAGGCCCATTACATGTACCCTTCCGATAACAAATTCTATAAGAGAGACCCAAGAGTTTAGTGAAGGCCTTGTGCTGCCATGGAGTATGCAATCTCTGATCTGAGAGGTGCATAAGACTGTGGTGGTCTGTTAGAATAATGAATTCACCCATTTGTAGATACGATCTCCAATGATCAATTGCCATGAGCATTGCCATACACTCCTTTTCATAAGTGGATAAACCCTTGGTTCGGGGACCAAGTGTAGCGCCCGTTCCGTCGTGGCGCCTAGCGGGAAAATTATCTCTTAAAAACCCTAATTGCGAAATTTGTTTCTTTGCTTGTTGTCTAGTGTCCGTGCCATCTCAAGATCTCAATCCCCGATCTATCGTCGAGTTCAATTCCGAATCCAATCCCTCCAAATCAAATTCCTCCACAAAAGTCCATTTTGCCTCCCCCAGGATCGATGGGCCGATTTTCCCTCGGCCCATCTTCCCCTCTCTCTCCCGGCTCTCTCTCTCGCTTTCCCCGGCGCGCCCCCGCTCACTCCCTCTCTCCCTCCGCTCCGCCCCGCGCCGCGCGCGCGAGCGCGCGTCGCCGCGCCGAGCGCCCCTCCCTCGCGCGCCGCGCGCGAGCGCGAGAGCCGCGCCCTGCGCCCCTCCGCTCGGCCCCGCGAGCCAGCACGCGTAAGCCGCCCGCGCCGAGCCAAGTCCTCCCTCACCGCTCCCTCGCTGCCGCTTCCCGCGCGCCGTGTTCGCGTGCGCGCGCCCGCGCGGACGCCGCCCGTTGCAAGCCGCGCGCGCGTGTCGAGTGGTCGACCGCCCGGTCGCCGCCGCCATCAGCCTCTGCACGCGCCTGTCGCTATTGTCGCCGCTCCGCTCCAAGCCGTCCCCCCGTCATCGTCGTCGTCATCGCCCGGCCCCCGCCACTCCGCGCGCAAGCCGCCAAGGGAAGGAGGCCGCGCCCCTCCTCTCTCTGCCGCGTCGCTCCCGCTCCCCTTCCCCTTTTTCCCAAATCGGCAAAGGGGCAAGCCCCTTTCTCCCCCTCCTTTTCCCCTTTTTCCTCCTCGCCGGCGTCATCCTCCTGCCGCCGCTTTGGCTGCAAGCGCCGAGCGCCAGCTCGCGCCTTGACCGTTCAATGTCGGTTTCCCTCGCCCAAACCGACATTGCCGCCCATTTAAGCCCAAGCCCTCCCCCTCCAAACTCTCTCATTTTCGCCTCCGCGCCATTGCCGCCCTCTGTTTCGCCGTCGCCGATCGTCGTTGCGCGTGTCGGAGGAGCCGGCACGAGCAAGGACGCGGAAGAGGACTTCGGCCGCGCCCTCTTCTTCCTCTTCCCCGGCCCGAGGCCGGAGAGATTACTCCCGCGCCGTCGGCCTCTCGTCACAGCGCCCCGTCCCGCACGGTAGTGCCTCCCTCCGTTCTTCCTCCTCGCTCCATCTCCTCCCCTTAGATTTCGGTAGTAGCTCGAGTAGCCTCCCCGTAGTTAGCCGGCGCCGCCCCGACCGTTGCCGTCGCTCGCCGTGTGCTCGCCGCCGTCGCCGCCCGAGCTCCGTAGCACCCGCTCGTCGCCGGCCTCGCTCGGCGTAGTTCCGCCCAATCCGACGCTAGCGTCGAGTTCCCGAAGCCGCGTAGATACTCTCACCGCCGGGAATCGGCCCCTCGTGGCCTCGTCGCCGTTTCCCTCTTCCCTCGCCGCCGGTTGCCGCCGCCGCAATCCGCCGCCGTCGAGCAACCTCCGGCGAATCCGAGCCGTTGGCTCGTCTCCCCTCGTCCCGTGCAACCGCCCGCTGTGCTCGCTTTTGCCTGTATCACCGTGGTTCGCTCCGCCGCTCGCCGCCGCCACCCGCCGTCCATTCGCGGTCGGGTCGTCGTCTACCTCCCGCCAGCCCACGTGGCCGCCACGTAGGCGCCACGTCGGCGCCAGCTCAGCCTAGACCGGGTCGAGCCGACCCCGGTCGGTCCCTCCCCGTGCGCGCGTTCCACCGCGAGCCGTGAGGCTGCGCGTGGGCCCGCCGCATCCGCGTCCACCGCGAGCCGCGCGCGTGCACCGCGTCCCAACCCCGCCCGCGCGCGTGCGCCGCGCACTCCCTCCGCACGGTGAGCCGAGCCGCTGACAAGCGGGTCCCACCCGGGACCACGCGTGGTGAGCCCGGTCCACCGGCTCCCTCTCTCTCCTCCCTCCCGCGCGCGCGCGCTTGGGCCGTCTTGGGCCGGCCGGTCCGTTAAGCTCGGCCGAGCCGCCCCAAATCTCTTGGGCCGCACCCTAGCCACCCGAGAAAAGTCTATATTCCCTCCCTCCTTTCTTTTCTTTTTCTTTTCCAAAAAGGATTTAATTAAATCCTTTTTCCGTTAGACCAAAAATCCAATAATCTTAGAAATTCAATATCTTCCCAAC